AACTGAGTAAGATAAAACGAAATCCACTATCAAATCTGTTTAGAAGGGGAAACCTAGAAAGTTTGGGGTTTAAGTATCCGGTGGCAAAAAGTGAAGTTTTCCAGTACCTGCAGGTGCTTTGGAAGGTGGAGCGATGAGCTGTTACACACCTGGGTCATCTCCGGCCACTGCAGCACCTTTCCTTCTACGTTTTCTTAGTACTTTCTCCAGGCTGGTTTTATGCACCTAAGACGATGAAATGTTCTCGTTTGGGGTCTTTAATGCATTTTAATAGATCTCACAGTTAGGAAGTTTTCCCTTACGTTTTCTGTGGCTATTTCTTCCGTCACGCCACAGATCTTCCGGCACCTTAAAAATTCCCTTTGCAAGGAGATGGTTAAAAACCAAAATTGTCGTAATAGTTTAAAAAAAAAAAAGTGCCCCGCCTTTCGCATTAGAAGTCTTCCTAATGTCAACTTATTAAAGCTCTTTATTAGTCGGTATCTCCTCCTCATTGGCCTTAATCAAACTTTACTCAGAATCAGCTCCCCCTGTACCATCTCCTTCCCATCCCCTGCCAACGAGGATGGGCTCGCATTGTAAATTGTGAGTTTAACTACAGCTCCGTTTCATCTCTACGAACTGCAGGATAAGGACCCATTTCTCAAAAATTATAGTCAGCAATATTAGTCCCTGGGTATGGTATTACCATATCTGGGATGATTTAGGGACAATGAAATCCCTGTGCCATCAAGCTAGGTGATTCTTCTGACACAAATGATCCTGCAACTCAATATTCACTGTGTGCGCTCACTGAAATTTAGTCCATTTTCCTTCCTCATTCCTTTTCATACCCACCCATGGCAGGGCTCGGCCGACGGGAGGAGTATACTGTCACTTTTTCCAAATATAATTGAGCTCTGTGAATGCAAGATGAAAACTGCTGCAGGAAGAAATTATCCTGAAACGCTTATGGTTTTTTTAGCCCAATCCACTTTCACTTGAAAGTAAAAACACGGTTGGGGTAAAGGTGGTTCTGTAGGATTACGGTAAGCGACCCACTGGCCTGCAAGTAGCTCACATTAACTTCTACTCAGTTTTAATCGTCGCTTAGTACACCGCTTTGGGGAGTCCAGAGACTTTGCTCTATCATTTCTCAGTAACCTAAATGTTCTTAAGACCCCAGCAAAAATCTGAAGTATTAGAAAAACAAGAATCATCCGCAGGCTCCGCTGGAAGCCTGCCAAAGGTTTCAGCACCGTTAAGAACCCGGCCATTCTTTGCAATCTTACCTATTAAGAGGCAAATAAATGATAACAGCAGTTTGGGTCTATTTCCCAGACAATTTGTGCTGAAATTAATAAACTGAGAAACAATTTAGTGGCCTAGCCACCAATTTTACATGGATTTAAACCATACTGGTACACAACTACTTCTTCAAGGCCTGATAAAGAACACTGAACCTACTCATTTGCCTTTCTACTGTCAGTGGTGACTTTCTGGATCCTGGATGCGGCTGTTCCCCTTTGCATACAAGCAGCTGCAACTCCGAGCAACAGATTCCCCCGGCACATTGCATCAGGCTTCTGGTTCATTGTACATCCCTTGTGCAAGTCAAGTTTTTCTGTAAGAGGACGGATAAAATGAAGCTGGGAAAGGTATCAGGCAGCAGAACAAGAAAAATTATCATGTAAATTGACAGTGGATGTTCAGAACTGGGGTAATTAGAGAAAGACAAAAGGTTTTCGTGTCTTAGTTTAAGTACAGGACACATCTGACATACCCAGCACTGCCTTAACAGCCCAGCGCAGCTTTCAAGGCATACAGTAACCATCTAAAATGAAGTGATCCGGCTGTCCGAACATTACCAGGATCCCAGCTTGCTTACCCTTCCAGAATGTCATTGCTGGTCCTCAAGATACCAACGTTTGAGAAGTACTGAAGAACAGCGGACAAAAAACAGAGCATGATGTCTTCCACAAGGGAGACATATTCCCAGGTAGGATACTTGAGCAAAGCCCAGGAACACAACCGAGCTCTGACGGTACTATTTGTCTCTACACCTAGTGCTTGTATTTTTACCTGAAGTTAGTGCAATCCATGGCCTTTCCTAATCGTCAGCTGCAAGCGGCAACTGTTGTCGCGCGTTCCCAGTTTTTTTAATGCTCAAATCCTCAGCTTGATTTAAAATTGGATGCTCTCCTCCTTTTAAGTTGGAAAATAATTGCACATTACTGCATAGCCCTGGTACCCTTCGACAGATCATTGGGTAGTTTTTCGTGTTAGCTTTGTTTCCATCAAACACTGGCGGTCTCCAGTTTGTGTAAGCTCAAGCAAATAGGACAAAACACATGCTGATGCAAAGACCACCCGACAGGCCGGCTTCTTAAATGCACCCGGCAGCATAAATCACATTCCCAGCAGATACAGAGTTTTCCATGTAAAATGATTACTATTTGACAGAAAAACTTATTTTTAGCTTCAGGCGTTCTGGCAGCTGGAGATGCAGCTTTGTGGCTGTTCTAACCACTAAACACGCATGGATTGCAGCGCAGGGTTGCCTGCTCTTTAGCTTTTAATTTACAGAACTAATTAGTTGGATTTACTGTCTTTAGCATCCCTTACCCTCTATTTGCTTAAGGAGAAACAGATGAGCCCTGCGTGTCAAGTCAAGCCCGACAGGCCAATAACTCCAGCACAAGGGCGCATCCAGTGGGAAACACCTTAGATGTAGCAAGAGGTTCCAATCTTGCAGCAGCGAATATATGCGTCACTTTACGTAGAGAAGAGACAGGCAGAACCCTCACCTAGCCAAGACGCAGATCGTCCAGGGGGGGTTAAAACTTCTCCAGCAACTTTCACACCTATCGGGGAGAGGGGACGTTCTGATCAGCAAGTAGATTTCAGACCAGGATAAAGGAAAATACAGGAGTTTTGTAGCAAAAACGGAAGCGTCAATACTTTCCAAAGCGTATTATGGTATCAGCATGAAGTAACGTGTGTGGCAAAGACATTAAGGCAGTCGATTCAGTACACCCGCGATGTAATGAGGTTTGGAAGTTCACTGGTTAGCAGTAAGATAGCACGGCTGAGTAACTACAGAGAAACTTACGTGGCAGTTACCACATAAAATAGTAATTTCCCTGCTCGGCTGGAGAAAATGTCCTGTACAGTAACGCACAGCACAGCAACACTCAGTTTTTAGGCTTCTAGGTATTGAAAAGATTAAGGGATAGTTAAGCAGCAAGTTCTTCAACAAAAAGAAACCCTGCAATTACACTTTATTAGCAGTACTTTATTTTACGACTAGGGGATGAAGAGACCTTCCAACCACAGACGCTCGCAGAGAACACCAGAGCATTCCAGCTGGCAACCCAGCCAGCGGCACCCCGTTCAAAACCCGACTCATTTGGAACTGCTCATTCTCTTTGGAGAAGCCCAACAACATAAGGCTCTGCAAAAGCAAGGTAGGCTATTTCAAAATGTCTGGTTTAAAAACATTTAATTAAAATATTATTTTAATGCAATGATAATGACATTATTATTATTGGGTGAAATCCCAGTTTCACCGTCCAGAGAGCGCTTACAGCATCACCCAGGTCGCGACCAAGTCTCAGACCATTCCACAATGAGCCTCAAGGCTCATCTCCCTCTGGTACTTGAAAACTCAAGACTCATTGGGGGATCTGGAGTTCAAACCTGCCACCAGCCCCCTCGGCTCAGG